ACGAGATACAGGGCGCTCATATTATAAGGCAAGGTTATAAAACCATCTTTTAAGATCATTTTAGTGAAAGTTTCATGCTTCAAAGCGTACCATTCACTGCTCAAATTCTAAACAAACTGCTTCCATTGCCGAGATACCGGCTGCTCATATTATAAGGTAAGGTTATAAAACCACCTTTTTAGATCATTTTAGTGAAAGTTTCATGTTCCTATCTCATAGAATTTAAGAATGATGAATAAATCATTTTCGAGCAAAATTTAAATGGCCGGCTGAATATATTACCGCAGGAGACGTGGCCGCGGAATTTAAATGACTCCGTCAAAGGGTTAAGACAACAGCTGGTTCCACCTACCACCATACTCTCTTTCATCTGCTGTTCCCAGGTTGCATGCAAAAAAAAGTTGCTCATGACTTTCAGTACGACCTACATACTTTCCTGAACAGCATTTCTGTCTCACTGAAACTGCTTTTTCAAATGTTACTTAATGAACAAACTGTACATAAGAATTAAAAAATTTCTGATTTTTAAGAAATTTTAAATGGGTGAGTTTTCTTAACACCTGTAGACATGCATGTACTGTGTCCTGTATTGTTTGGTGTAAGTTCATCCGCGATTTTGAGGAAAGTGTTGCCTTCATCTTCAGGTTCATGGAGTGAGTAAAGCATAGAACTACCAAGAAGTTGGCAGTAACTGGAGGACTGTGCTTGCTTCTTGCTTTTGCTTGGCTTAATTTTGGTCCTGAAGATGGAGGCAACATGTTGCTCCAAACTACATGGCAATACAATCCAGAAGATTTTATTTTTCAAAGATTATTTCCTGTTCGACTTTTAGTTATTGCAATGTCACACATTTACATTTAGTTACGAACGCTGGAAGTGGGAAGGACAGACAAAACAGCCACACTGAGAAAGCCTGTTCAGCTGGTAACACTTCTGACTTGTATTCAAGGGATGCCTAGTTCAAACCTTGCCCAGGACACTGACTAGTCTGGCTGAGGCTTCATGTTATTTTCCTGCCTTACTGTACATTCAGGAAGATATCACAATGGTACCTTGAAATAGTCCACAACTGCTGCCTTCCCGATCCTTTTTTATTTAGTATTCAATAATCATCCTACAAGTCAGCACTGTATAGGCTGAGCTACTCGAAGCTGTAACCAAGAGAACTGCATGAATGTCAGCCCTGGAAGCCATCTTTCAGTAACAGATATGAATTAGAAAAACTTAATATATGATAATTATGCACTGCATTACTAGCTGAAAGACGTGAAAACTGAGTATATATTTATTGTTTCCATCTTTATTCTTATGGTAATAACATTGTTCTTACTTCAGACAATTAACTTGGCCATACATGAACATTCCTGTCACTGAAACACAGAAGAAGATATGAATTCATGGGAAAATTTTTGACAAAGGCGATATGTGTAACACAGATACACTTTTTTTATTATTATTGCTAGTGGTGTGGGACTAAGTCCCTTGTACTGCGGCCCGTTCTGGCCTAGTGTACCAGCCCTAGATGATAGGTGAGGGTGATTTTTGAGCAATTGGTGGAATGAAGATTGGCAGGGGAAACCGAAGTACTCGGAGAAAACCTGCCGCAGCACCACTTTGTCCACCACAAATCCCACTTGACCAGACCCTGGATCGAACTCGGGCCGCCGCGGTGGAAAGCCAGCAACTAACCACTTGAGCTATGGCACAACACAAATTACACACATGAGTTATGTACCACACACAAGCAAGGAGTAAATTTTGTAAAAGTAGAGGCAAATTTATTCTACCTCCTTTTTAAGATCTTATATCAGTAAAATTATGCCAGCTTAGTATAAATACGGGGTTATGTTACACATTTTCAAAGTAAGATTTACATACAATATCTGAAGTTTTACATATGCATAATTGCTATAAGTGCTCTTGCATAAACAGTAACATTTCAGGCTCAGTTCAAATCAGGTTAGTTATGGATGCTGATTTTTTGTATAATTTTAAAAACCCTGAGTGTCTGGTCATAAAAGCTAGGAAAACAGTGTAAAAGGATATTTATTAGTTGTGATATTGAAAGTGGCAAAATTCCAAAAGATATGTCTATGCTGTCAAATATTATTCTTCCCTAAAACAATATTTTGTGTATGTAGCAGACTCTATCATTTAAAAGGGTGCATTTGTGGATCATGCTTGATTTGCCATTAGGTATAACACAGTTACATTTGCACACTTTAATAGGAATACTTAAAAACTGAATTCAGATGTAACACATATTTACACATTCATAATCATTCTACTTTGCTCTCTTGAAAGCTGTTTGACTGCATATCATCTCTTATTTCTCTTTGTTCTACTGCAACTGGCCCTTCCTGTCCTTCTCTCATAGCACTTGCTTCTCCCTTCTCCTGGTTCTCCACTAATGCTGCAAAAACAGTAAAAGCTTGAGTTCTTTCTTTAACTTTAAAGATAAAATAGCTGATCAGACATAACTATCTCCTACCTGGTCCACTACACTCCTTAACTTCATGTAATGTGCCAATAGTTACAGTCGTTGCTGCACACGTTGACAGAGACTGAATACTATCATGATCTGGGACTTTGAATATGAAAGAGAGAAACTTGGACCCTCTGAACCTTGCAGATGGAGTCCCTTCCAAAGCACTTTCTGTATTAGTGCCACTCGTGTGTTCCCCATCCACACCATGGGAAGTATCAACGGTCACATGAACACCAAGGAGTCGTTTCCATGCCAACTGGAACTAGATGCACAAAGCATGTCAGTATTATATTCATATTCATATATTCATATTTTTATTGGTTCCAGAAATCCACATTTTGCAATAAAGCCTCCAGATATAGAACAAGTCAAATTATTTGTATAAAAGTCAACAATACTATAATATTTAACTACTTACACAAATTGTGTACATGTCCAACAAACCATATAAAACTATAGTAAAAATTTAAGACAATATAAATTCCTGAACAGAGTAACCAATTCAATCCATTGCACATCAATCAATCACAAACAAAAGTAATTTCACTATACTACCAGAAACATTTTTTATAATTTACTTAGCACTGTCTACAACAAATATGAAACACAAGAGCCAATAAATACTATTAATACAAAAACTCACACCATTAGGGAAAAGCTGTAAAGTGAATGCAGAAGAAAGAAACTAGTATATATCCATGTATTTGAGATGAACTTAGGGGAAGGACTGGACTGTCTTGCTCCCGAACATTCAGGAGAAACTATAACTAATCAACACTGAGTAAAGCAAGATTAAAATTGAAGGATTAAAGAAATGGTAGTAACAATTCTTAAATTTTGTGGTGCCATTAGAGTGCCATTCTTGTAAACCCTCATGAAGCCTACCAGCTCTAGTTTACGTAATGTAGCTCATGTAAGAGCCAAGGTAAAGAAGGTCGTATTGATGAAAACTGCACTTTCAACGTACAACAAGTAAAATAATATAAGTAATAAAGTTAGAATAGACAGTTCAAAATGAGAACATGATCAGCTTAAAGAAGATGGGAAGATATTTTCGTCTTATATGTTGTACACATGCAACTTCAAATTCAAATAATTTAGGAAAAGAGAAAAATATGTACCTGGGTGTTCAGTCCAACATATATGAGTGGGTTGTAGCAAAAGCTGGACTTGGCAATGATAGCTGGAACCACAGCAAGGCCTGGACTCACGATACCTGAGTCGCCAAAAGCAACCACCAGAGCCAACACTGCATAGGGACTCCATGCCACCAGAAATGCCAGAATCATCACTACAATCATGAGGGTAACTCTGGTCTCTGCCTTGGTGACACGTCCTGCCTCCAAGGTGCTCTGAAGACAATGGATGTGGCTCACACCATTCAAATCCATGCAATAAATTTTGCCAAGAGGAACAAGGAAGATTGTTATAAAAGGTTATCAACTCCTTCCAGTGTGACTGATAACGTTTTTTTTTCTTTCATCCTTGATATGTTTCAGTCTGATAGACTACCTTCAGAAGGATATTTCAATACAGATGGAAACTACTACTATAGTATAACAAAACCATGAGCCCCAAATAACAGGAAGATACTATTCATCAAACAACGGAACCACGACATGGTAGACACTCAACTTCTTTTAAAGAGAAGCAGTATAAAGGACATGGACAAAATTGGTTCTAAATTTCAACAAAGTCTTTTTAAACCAAACTTGTAAACAAACTAATTATAATAATGTTCATGTATTTATCGTCCGTCAATATTGCAACATTTTATTGGCCCCAGAGCCAATCTGAATGTTGTGGAGAAGGGAAATCTTCACTTCCGGGATTTGTTCATTACGGTGAACTTCATTATTTATTTGGAATAAAACTGCTTTATTAACACTTTGCGGACCGCGTGCCCTTTAAAAGGTTTTTCGCTTTTAAACGTTGCGACCAGTGGCATATTATTATGACTTTAGGACATGTTATGTTGAAACACACTATACCTTGCTCTGGCGCCACGCAACTGCAATGAATACTGCGTAATAAATCTTCAGAATGTATGCTAGGTATTCAGTAACTTGACCTGGCTTGCTAGGGTCCCTACTCCAAAAGAAAATAAACTTTGCCCCTTCCAGCTGTTTATGTACCAGGCAGGAAGTTAGTAGAGGGGACTACATTTCAAGGACAAAAGCGGTTGAAGGCAAGCGATCTCTCGGACTTGTTTATGGAGCTATCTGACGTGTCTTATGGAGTAGTAGTGATCAGTGACTCAGACAGTGGAAGTGATAGCAGTCAACAAAGAATTGTGGCCACAGATAATAAAAGTGAAAGTCGCCTTGTGGCTTATAAATTGTGCCATTTTCGATTCATTTTTGGTTTACAAAAATCTAAACCTTGATTCTAAATTGAAATACAAAGCATTTCTGATGAATGTGGCAAATGCTTGGGCTACAGACCAGATGGTGGCAGCAGAACCAGAGTCAGACAGACTTAGTGCGACCTAGCCCATGAACTTCCACCCCACACAGGCCTTATGTGGACACCACTGGGCGACTCTCGGGTGATATGCAGAAACGTACCCTTGTGAAAATTGTGAAGAGTGAACATTCCAAGGGAAGCATCCTTTTTAAAGTGAACAGTGCACAAGTTAGGGTAGTAGGTATAAAAATGCTGTCCCTAGGGTGATTTAAATATTTAAATCGCCGGTCCGCAAAGTGTTAATGTCATGACATACAGAGGGGGGCACGTGGCNCCAGGGTGATTTAAATATTTAAATCGCCGGTCTGCAAAGTGTTAATGTCATGACATACAGAGGGGGGCACGTGGTAGCTTAGTTGCTTGAGGCATTATGCTACAAGCCGGAAGGTCACGGGATCAAATCTTGATGAGGTCATTGTATTTTTTCAATTTACCTAATCCTTCCAGCTGCACTATGACCCTGAGGTCGACTCAGCCTCTAACAAAAATAAGCACCAGGAATATTCTTAGAGTTTTCTTGGGGGTAAAGGGCAGCCGGTGTGTAAGGCTGACAACACTACCGCCATCTATGAGCCGACTGTTTAGAAAATGTGGGAACCTCAACATCTCACAACCCTATGGGCCTCCACGGCCTCTTATAGGGATACCTTTACTTTTACTTTACTTTACTTTATGACATACAGAGACCCTCTCCAGGCTCTTTCCTAACTAGTGTGGCAGTGTTCATCGGTTGTTCCAGACTGCCAATTTCATTATTGCCTGCATGTGTATAATGAGATAAACATCACTTTTTAATCGTCCATGATATGTATGTATTGGCCATCTTGTAGTGCACTCAATCTCACATGTCACTTCACTACATGTTTCGGCATCACTGTGCCATCCTCAGGTACGTTATTTACGCTAAGCTACTGCATTGCTCGCCATCATGTGTTGTTCATAAAATTATTTTAAACAACCTTCTGCAGCTTGCTTTCAGCTAAACTGCCTTAATATAATCACCTGTCTCATGGTTCTGATGATATTTAGATAGGAGAACAGAATGATGCCAATTGGTACCACGAGGCCCATGGTGAACAGGAACATGATGTATGTCATTGCATTGTATGTGTGACTCTCCCAGTTAACAGAACAACTGAAAGCAAGTGTTCATTTTGTTACTCTCCACAAGAAGACTTAGCAAAAATACACACTTTTTAGATTAGGCATATTCCCTTCTTAAATGTTTAAAAATGGGCTTATGAAGTCACTATGTTGTCTATGTATCTCTCCACTTCCCCTTCGGAAACAGCTGACCAATCTTGATGACATTTGGTATGGCATTAGGCCATTAGAGACCACCCCAACATCCTACTGCTTAATTTCCCACAATTACTAATAACATGGCGGACACATAAACTTGTGAGGTGGATGTGACACTATAGCAACTTCATCTAGTGTCCTGATATTATGCATAAGAATAGATCTTAGAAAAACATGCAATTCTATTAATGTAATTTATGTATAGAATGCAAAATAAGAATGTGGTCGCTAAATGAAATGTGTATTTAGCTTCCAATTTGGTGGCAATAATTAATGAACAATTGGAGTTACGTATTTAAAATTTTGTACACAGACAGATCATAAACATGGCCACAAACTCTGTATAAAACACTAAAAAGTAAAAAATTATGAATGGCAACAGAGCAAAATATAAATAAAATCAAAATTTGACTTAAGTAATACAGTCTTCACCCTTTCCCAAAAATGATGATGATAATAATAATGAAAACAACAACCATAAACATAATCTGTGACAACTGCAAGCAACGAAATGATGACTTGATTGGGATCTGGCAGTATGACCAGATGCATGAGTCCAGCACACTACTCCATGAGTTAAATTGCATTCTTTTGTTAGACTATAAATTTATATTACCTATATAAGACATTCCCATTAATGCCATGAACTTTACATTATTAATTCATATTAGAATTGCTGTTTGTTCCACAGAGAAGACAGTCAGCATTGCTCAATAAACATGGAACCACTACAACAATAAATCATCGAATGAATTGGTTTTAAAACTATTCATTCTGGTCTGTCAAACTAGTAAACTGAATTATAGAATAACTGTTAACACTGTCCAGTGTGAATGAATTGAATCACACTGGACAGTGTTAACAATTATTCTATAATTTAGTTTAAAACATTAATATATGACACAAACTCCGTCCTAAGTGCAACAAGTTATTGTAGTTCTTTCGTCTTCCTTTCTTCTACACTACTTCTACAATACAAATATTAGTATTACTATCTTATGTACGTTATGTTATTCTTATATGTTTATACTGTTATTTGTACTTACTCTGTGTAGGCTCCCTGTGTGCGTGCCGCTACTTATCTTTAATACACGTGCTGTCTGGTGTATTGTGTCTGTGTTTTATGTTCCCCTCCTACACTCACCAACATAAAACACAGCACACAATACACCAGACAGCACACGTATTAAAGATAAGTAGCAGCACACACACAGGGAGCCTACACGGAGTAAGTACAAATAACAGTATAAACATATAAGAATAACATAACGTACATAAGATAGTAATACTAATATTTGTATTGTAGAAGTAGTGTAGAAGAAAGGAAGACGAAAGAACTACAATAACTTGTTGCACTTAGGACGGAGTTTGTGTCATATATTGTGTAGAGTGTAACAGAATGCTTAAATATAATATTAAAACATTAAATTCATAATTTTAGAAGTATCATAATAAATGGTCTTACAACTTACATTTTTAATTAAACAAGCGCAAGTGTATCTGATCATTCTAAATAACATTGCTGTTACTTTTCCATCCATGATATCAGCCAAGTGCAAAAAAAAAGAAAGAAAGAAAGAAAGAAAGAAAGAAAGAAAGAAAGAAAAGAAAAGGATTATGGCTTCTACACCAGTGCATCACATTATACTGGCTACATCATGGAATGTAATTTTAAATCTGTGAATAACAGCAGTATCATTAGAAACTGAACAAATAGCACAGACCTGATGTTTGCACCTTCAAGAACAAAGGCACCCCAGCCAATGAGAGGAGGTACTGTGAGAGACAGAGCATATAACCAGATGGCACACACCAGAATGAGTGCCCCGCTCCTGTTCAAGTTATATTTCTGGAAAGGCCTGCAGATCATCACATACCGTTCAAAGGACAGCACAGTGAGTGTGGTTATCGATGTTATACCTGAACACAATGTCCATAATGAAGAGATACAAAGTGCATGCTTAAGAAAACCTAAATACTAAAATATACAAAGCTATCAATTTGCGCTGTAGATTTAGTTAAACTTGGACTCTCCTTATGTAGCCTTACAAACATAAAATGAATACTGTTTGGTGAATACAAACCTGTCACCTGTTTCCTTCAAAATCTTGCATTGGCTATAGCTGATACATTACAAAGACCATGCTATCTGAGCAGGGTTGATCATGATAGGAAAATTTGGAGCAGAAAGCAAAGGACAGATAGTGAAAAATATTCCTTTGTAAATTCTGCATAATGAGGAGCTTCATAACTTGTACTCTTCTCCAAGTACAGGGTGTTCCTAAAAGAATGGTGGGGTTTTAGATACGTATATATTTCGTATTTCTTACCATGTACAATCATAACATGTGTCATTCGGAAGCTTAACTGTCCAAATTTTATGTACATCCATCAAAGTGCCTCTATGTGCGCACCTTTCGNTGATTCTGTTTCGGAGATCCTGGAGCGATTGGGGCAATGGGGGTACATAAACCATGTCCTTCACATACCCCCACAAGAAGAAATCACATGGAGTTATGTCCAGGGATCGGGGTGGCCACCGGAGAAGGGGGGCATCTTCACCTGCAACACGTCCAATCCATCGTTGTGGAAGGACCAGATTACGCAAACCTCTCATAATGCTACGGAAATTTGGGGGAGCACCGTCCTGTTGGAAAACGTAGTCACTGGAATCATTGGCCAGTTGTGGAAACAACCAATTTTCCAGAATGTCTTGACAGGTGTTACCAGTCACTGTTGCTTCAGCAAAGAAAAAAGACCCTTACATTTTTTGCTGACAGCACAGAAGACGTTAATTTTCAGAGAATCACGCTCGTGCTCAATCTGTGCATGTGGATTTTGTGTCCCCCAGATACGTACGTTGTGTTGGTTAACTATCCCACTCAGATGAAAAGTGGCTTCATCACTGAAAACGAGACGTTCCAGGAAACCATCGTCTTCCATTTTCTCTTGAATGTCCTCAGCGAAATGAGTTCTGGCTACCTTGTCTTGTGGTTTCAGAGCTTGCAACAGCTGCAACTTGTACGGTTTCATTATTATCCGCTTACGCAGCACCCTCCACAACGTCGTTGTTGGCATTTGCAATTCTCTGCTTCCTCTACCTAATGATTTTCTTGGGCTTCTCTGATATGTCTCCCTCACTCTTTCCACGTCTGCATGTGGCACACGTAGCCACCCAGAACTCTTGCCTTTACAGAGACATCCACTGTCCACAAACTACCGGTACCATCTGCAAATGTTGTTTTCATGTGGCGCCTCCTTCTGAAAATGTACACAAAATTCACGGCGCACTGTAACGATGGATTTACACACCTCAAATCTCAACACGCAATAGGGCTTCTCCTGCTGGGTTGCCAACTTACATTTCACACCTCCTAACTGTTGGAAATGGAACTAGGAAAGAGCGTGATATACAAAATGAAAATTTGAGAGCCGCGTTATGAGTCCGTATACGTTTTGCTTTTCATCACCAAAAACTGACGGAGATATACGGCAATGAAACCCCATCATTCTTTTAGAAACGCCCAGTATAATTAGAATGATCAAGTCAAGGAAGGTGAGGTAGGCAGGGCATGTAAAAGAACAAGGGAGAAAAGGAATGCATATAGGATATTAGTGGGAAAGCCAGAAGGAAAGAGACCACTGGGAAGACCATCATGTAGGTTGGTGGACAATATTAAAATGGATCTTAGACAGATAGGATGGGATGGTATGGAGTGGATTGATCTGTCTCAGGATAGGGACCAGTGGAGGGTTCTTGTGAACATGGTATGAACCTTCAGGTTCCATAAAATGCTGTGAAATTCTTGAGTAGCTGCAGATTTGGCTTCTCCTCAAGAAAGTCTCAGCTCCATAAGTAAATTTGTTCCTTTATGTATAGGACCATCCAACTCTGGAACCAACTACCTTCAGACATTTTAGGGACTCCCTCCTGTAAAACAAGTAATTTTAGGAAAGTGATAAATAAGATGAAGTGAGGGTGTGGGGGAAATCATCAAAAATGCAGCGCAGCAAATTGAAGTGGGATGAAGGAAAGGCCATGGTGAAATGTGGGTGCATCAGTTCATAACATTACATATTTCATTACAATTACTGTTTAGTGTACAGTATACCTATCATTTTATTAACATTTATTTATTTAATTCTAGTTGTAATTGTATTTGTTGTAGTTTTAATTGGATTTCCATTGTATTGATTGTGTGTAGTGTGTCCATTACTGTTTGTGTAGTTTTGTGTGCTGTGTTTTGTTTCAGTGGGGTGTGTTATTTTGTGTGATGTGTGTTATTTGTGTGTTGTGTCTTAATGTAGCACCATTTCCAACATGTAAAAATGCATTTGCAGTTTAAATAAATAAATAAATAAATAATACTTCTTCTTATAATCCAGAATTATGGAAAGAAATGTGACAAGTGCAAATAAAGGCAGACAAGTAGCACATGACAAACATTTTTGCCAGAAATACTGGAAATCTGAGCACTTTATTCAATATTAGAGCACCTTTCACATATGGTGGGAATAGCTTCACAGGATTTATCATCTTAATGCACGTTAGCTGAGCAACTATAGGAATGTTTATACTTTTCTCATTAAATATCCATAAAAACTGGAAAAAAATTCATCCAAAATTCTTATATCATAATGGGATACCTGTAAAATTTTACTTTTATTTGAAATGCTTTTGACTGTAGGAAGAGTACACAGTAAATATACACAGACTACAGGATCTTGAAAACTTTCAATTCCTGTTAGATTTTTGCAGTATTACCTAATAATGACATGAGGAACCCATATATAACGCACACAGTCTGGCCGAAGATCCAGTGTTGGGCCAGAGCAGCGGTCAGGGTAATGGGGTTCCCCAGGATGGATGCAGCAAAGTCTGAGCACACCAGGTTGAAGAGAATTACATTTAGCGGTGTCCACAGCTACAAGACAAAGAATCGGTGTGGCATGATGTGAATGAAATGTAAATCTGTAAATGCATGTTATAGCTAGAACTGTGTCTCAGTGTGAAATCTCCACTTACAGAGCAGTATACTTGTCAGCACTACTACTCAAATGATGTAGCAAAATATCAGCCCCTCTAATAATCTGCTTTGTTTTTCTTTATTCTAACTCAGCATTTTTAAAAATTATGTTACTGTCACTCTGATTTGCATATGTAAAGAGGAGAAGAATACAAAATGACCCAAACACAGCAACCATACTGAGTACTATATGTACAAGTACATGAAGGAGGACTGCTGAGAACAAGACAATCAGACGACAAATCTGAGAACCTTACATTATATGACATGCTACTGTTGCTTGAAACTCAGAAGTTTGCACAGCCAAACTGCCATTAGCTTTTATGGTAGGAAATGAAGTTCAAAGTCAGGGTGATTTTAGTGTCATGAAGTTCACTACAAGTTTCATACAGATATGCTAGAGAAGGAAGCCTCTCTGCCCTTTTTTTGCTAAAATGCCATCACTTATGGCCTAAAATATTTCAGTCAGGAGATGGGCAAGCATACACATGCAACTTCTTCACAAAGAGAAATTCTGTTCTTTCAATATATTAATAAAGATACAAAATGCAATGTTATTCTTGAGAAATTCTGCAGAGATCCTGACATAATATGGAACTGAGGCACAATGTTACCTGCTTCTCTCTGAACATGAGGATAATAACCAGGAGATTGAAGAAGAATCCAAAGAATCCAATGAAGAAGAGAGCTATAGCAGACACTATGTACCCAGCGGGATGCATGAGGGGCTCCGCTCCAGCTGACGGTGGCCCATCTTCAACAACAGCATCCTCATTCATTGCAATGTGACAGGTGTGGCACCCGCCTGAAGCATACAAAAAACATATCATGGAGCAATCTGAAAAATTAAGCCACTACACTACTTATGAACGATAAAATTGCAATACAGAAACACAGTTTTGCAGAAAAGTCATTCCTGTTATTTTGCTTTCAATACAATGCTGAAGAGTGAACGTAATTTTGAGGCAGTAACTTTCATATTTCTTTTTAATAAACAACAAATATGAAGTAGTTAACTTAACTTGTGCTTTCTAATTTAACAGTGAACAAGCGTAAGAGTGTAATACATCTAAATTATAATGCTCATACTTATACAGTATATTCCAGTATGTTTTCTTCGTACAATTTATAATCACAAAAAGAATTTTAATTTCTTTTGTTCCTAAATAGGAGATGTCCTTTCCAATATAAATCCAAAATGACCTAAGGAAATCATCATATGGTCCATAAGACTCAAGTTTAAATTAAAGTTACACATGTTCTGTCAACAGACACAAAGAAGAAACATAAAATACTGCCTGAACATGAATGAAATCATCAACGATAACTTCGTTTTTATTACCTCAAAATATAACAGCTGAAATGTTTCAAATAAAAAATTGAATTCAGTTAACTTATGTAGGATCTGAGGTTATCATGGTGAAGATTAAGAAGATTACTGCACTCTGAGATCTGATGGTGTATATAAGTTGGCAGACTGGTACCAAAATTTCCAACTAACATACTTGCATGCAAGTATGCAAGTTCCTCCAAAATGCCGTAGCAAATCTACCAAACTATATGGTGTCATATCCCAGAAGACATCAATCTACAAATCAACTTGCCCTGTTAAATAACTCCAGTAACCTACATCAAGAATAAACAAAATATTCTGGGCATATGTTCTTACATACAACTGATGTTCAGTGGAGTAAGACGGTTGACTCTGATGTGGATACACGACCACTTTGCAAGTCAATGCAGAGCCCTCTAAACTGTTGATACCTATGTGACAAATATGTATAGTACCACCCTCACTCCACAGACACAAGCACACGCATGTCTGGCACGAGACTAGTTATTTCCTCACTCTGAACTGACAATACCATTGAATCAGTCCCTCACTGTAAAAGGGATGTTACATAACCTACAGGGTGGCAATGATCAATAACTGCAGAATTTATCGTGAATCTTTTTCCTCCATGTACATATTTCATTCCAATGAAACATTTTTCAGTTGTGTAGCAGTTGGCTGACAGTCACTCAGCTGGTCAAGGAATTAAACGCTTTTTATGGATACTGGAACTATATTACCTTGCTCACAACAGCTCATCTCCACAAGGACATGAGACCTTCCTGAGAAGCTAATAGTCACTCAGCTGGCCATAACATTCCCAGACCTTTACGGAACCCAATGATTCACAACAGCCTGCAACTGGATTCTGATGTAGTCCTAGTGGATTCAGTCTCCACCTTAATATCTATTTTCCATTACTTTGCTCGTTCCAAAGAATCAAAGTACAAGTCTGAAGCCCTGTGTAACATTCCACGATGTTAGTTACTTTCACAGTGAAATTAATTAAAACTGAGAAATACAAAAGCTAGTGCTGTGATACAGAATAATACAAACAGTGCTTTGAAGGGTACAGCTCGAAGAACAGAGCCACACACAAGCTGAACAAAGACAGAAACAATAGTTATTTAGTTCAAACATAAGAGGATGATCCGTTTATACAGTGAACACGACAAATGAGGTTAATAGGATTTTGTTTGTCATAAGTTTTGAACATTTTAATTAAACATGAGTTGACCTTGCTGTATTCAAGACTGCAGTTTTTTATTTAATCAATACAAATATAACAAGTTGGATTACAAGTAATTAAAGTATAATTCTGTCTAGGCTGGTCTAAGCCATCCATAACAACCAGGATTAAACATGTTTCAAAAGCATATTAACAACGTAGACACAAAGGGAGCAGTTACAATACGTTTCAGTTTGCATATTTCAATTTTTTGGCTGCTGCTTAAAAATAAGATTGTAAAAGTATACAGACATGTTCCACAGAAGGAATTATAAATAACATACTAAAATCCTTCCAGCTGCACTAGGCCCTGGGGTTTACTCAGCCTCTAACAGAAATGAGTACCAGGAATTAATTAAATAATTTTCCTGGGGAGTAAAGCGCAGCCGACACGTAAGGCTGACAACTTACCGCCTTCTTTGAGCCGATTGTCTAGAGAATGTGGGCCCCTCAACGTCTCACAACCCTATGGGCCTTCACAGCCTGGTACAGGGATAGCTTTAGTTTTTTTTTACTTTTACAGCCATACTCTTCAAAATGTTTGAGATTAAATGTAGCTAATGTGAGGAAGGGAAGTGATATTCTGTAACTCTCCAGATATGACTGATTTTAGATAAGCTGGATAATTAACATTATATCGAACTCTTCCATAATAATAAACAAATATTAAATTAACATTCAGTTATTCATCTTAGTTCACCCTTAATCCAAATTGCTGAGGTGCCAGAACTGTAGATCTATACTGAATCAATTTAAGACTTTGCTCATCATTGTTATTACATTTAAAGTTGTCCATGTGTTCAATTAATTATGCATCGAGCCAATAAGATGTATGGGGGAGTGGAGGTATAGCTCCACACATTTTTTAACTTCGGTGCTAGGTGGATGTGTGTGGTCAGCTCCCTGCACAACCACTTTACTCTTTGGGAGAACCTCAAGTACCCATTTGATAAGAGGTTCAGTGGGCCCCACAGTTGGTCTGGACCCTGTGAAGAAAAACATCTTCTGCCCCTGGATTCCTTGGCTGTCTCCCCCTTATCCTGTCACTATACCAACTGAGCTATTCTGGCTCTAGTNGTGCCCATTTCAGTTACAACGACATTCGTTTATAACGACACTATTTTTAGGTCCCTTTGATGACGTTATAACCAAGTTCTACTGTACATATAAATAGTTTAATACAGTCTTCAAAGTCATATTACAACAGAGAATTATGTTAAAAGCATAAAACAAACTGAATTTCAATGTAGTTTCAATTCTATGAATATTGCTGTCTCCCACAGTTTCAAATTTACACTTTCATGCCACAATAGAATGGAACTTGAACAGAAAGCTGTCAGTAAATATGTACTATGCACTTCGGTTACACCCATGACAAATGTGGCTGCCCACTTTTGATACAATAGGCACCATTCATTGTAGTCTTTGCCTTTATAGCTTCTTGCATTGTTGACTACAATCTACAATAATTTGTAATAAGTCATTCATCATAAATTAACATAACAGCAGGAAAAACGGAAGAATTAGCTGTTATTTTATTAACCTGTATAAGTATTGATAAGGCTAGGGCATATGCTATCTGTCTGGAATAGCAAAAGATATACTCTAGTCCAACAAAAAATACAGAGAGTACATGGCCTTATACCACAGTACACCCTCCAACACAGCACTGGTCATAACCCAGAAAACCACCATCATATTGGTATATTCAAAGGGATGTTCATAATATTGTTTTTCAAAAGAAAATTTCAATGAAATTGAAATCAAACTATAAAAAATTACTGCTGGTTATATCTGTATGAAGAGAAAACAAATATTATGTACATACATTATACACTCTGTGGAGGACTAACTGGTTTACATACCACGACAAAAATAAGTAACTAGCTCCGCGGAGCAAAACCTTCTTGACACACAAATTGCTGCTCAGCTACTCAAGATAATCCATGCCTTTTATGGAACCTAAGACTGATTAATGTGTTAAAAGATCTTATCATGGGCCCCTTTCCCAAACCAGATGAATCCAGTCCGTACCCCCCACCTTAATTCTCTGGATTTGTATTATCCATCTCCCATTATTATTATTATTATTACTGTTGTTGTTGTTATTGTTATTATACAATCTGTATGCTCAGATTGTACTGCATTAATTAGATCTAAGCTTGAATATATGTCCATAGTCTGGAATTTGATTATGTCAACTGATGCCAACAAGCTGGAACGCATCCAGCAGAGGTTTGAGGCCCTTTGTTTTAATCATTTCTATCCTCAAGTCCATTACAGCTATTCTCTTGCTCTGGTAGAGTTAAAATTTCATATTTTACGTACTAGGAGACATCACCTCGGTGATCTCTTTCTTAATCAAGTTCACTTTGACTTGAAATTCTGCCCTTCTGTTCTGGAAATTGTTGGACTCCGAGTTCCTGCTCGGTATATCTGAGACTTTGCATTGCTCAGTGTTTGCTCCTCATGTAAAAATTGTCCCTCTGCTAGACATGCAGCAGCTGCTAATGTTGTTTGCAGGGATGCTGATGTATTCGGAGCCAGGAAAGTTCTCCCCAGATGATTTTTAAATATGGTATAACTGTTACTATTATTATTTGCATGAATATAAAAAACAATTAAACTGAGTTTTTATTATTATCCTCTCTGAATATCTATACTTCTCAGTTCACAATTAAATATTTATACATTTAATTTCTCAGTTCTCAATAACAACTTAGATTTATGTTAATGAAACTATTATTGTTGTTGTTGTTTGTTTACTTGTCGGCATTAATGTGTTTTCCCTCCAGTGCTTGCCTGTAATTTATCTTTGACTATGTTGTGATTGTCCATAATGTAATTACTTGTATCTACACTGTGCTCTGTCTGTAATTGGCCTTGTGGCTGTTGACTAGGCACATAAATAAAAAGAACTGAATTGTTATTATTATTGTTGTTGTTGTTGTTGTTGTTATTGCTCACAGAATACGCCGCATTCCCAGCTGAAAAAAATACTGTGNACCACCATCATATTGGTATATTCAAAGGGATGTTCATAATATTGTTTTTCAAAAGAAAATTTCAATGAAATTGAAATCAGACTATAAAAAATTACTGCTGGTTATATCTGTATGAAGAGAAAACAAATATTATGTACATACATTATACACTCTGTGGAGGACTAACTGGTTTACATACCACGACAAAAATAAGTAACTAGCTCCGCGGAGCAAAACCTTCTTGACACACAAATTGCTGCTCAGCTACTCAAGATAATCCATGCCTTTTATGGAACCTAAGACTGATTAATGTGTTAAAAGATCTTATCATGGGCCCCTTTCCCAAACCAGATGAATCCAGTCCGTACCCCCCACCTTAATTCTCTGGATTTGTATTATCCATCTCCCATTATTATTATTATTATTACTGTTGTTGTTGTTATTGTTATTATACAATCTGTATGCTCAGATTGTACTGCATTAATTAGATCTAAGCTTGAATATATGTCCATAGTCTGGAATTTGATTATGTCAACTGATGCCAACAAGCTGGAACGCATCCAGCAGAGGTTTGAGGCCCTTTGTTTTAATCATTTCTATCCTCAAGTCCATTACAGCTATTCTCTTGCTCTGGTAGAGTTAAAATTTCATATTTTACGTACTAGGAGACATCACCTCGGTGATCTCTTTCTTAATCAAGTTCACTTTGACTTGAAATTCTGCCCTTCTGTTCTGGAAATTGTTGGACTCCGAGTTCCTGCTCGGTATATCTGAGACTTTGCATTGCTCAGTGTTTGCTCCTCATGTAAAAATTGTCCCTCTGCTAGACATGCAGCAGCTGCTAATGTTGTTTGCAGGGATGCTGATGTATTCGGAGCCAGGAAAGTTCTCCCCAAATGATTTTTAAATATGGTATAACTGTTACTATTATTATTTGCATGAATATAAAAAACAATTAAACTGAGTTTTTATTATTATCCTCTCTGAATATCTATACTTCTCAGTTCACAATTAAATATTTATACATTTAATTTCTCAGTTCTCAATAACAACTTAGATTTATGTTAATGAAACTATTATTGTTGTTGTTGTTTGTTTACTTGTCGGCATTAATGTGTTTTCCCTCCAGTGCTTGCCTGTAATTTATCTTTGACTATGTTGTGATTNTTCATGTACAGCGCTGTAATACAGCTCTTTTTAAGAGGAGTGTGATAAATATGGGAATTAGTTTGTATAATAAGATCCCCAATCAAATAAAACAAAGGGGAAATTTTAACTCATTTAAAAAGGAATCAAAATCTTTTTTGCTGAAACATTCCTTTTATTCTGTAGATGAATTTATGTCTTTTGATTCATCAAGTGTGTAAATGTAATATGTAGCTGATTAATTTGTTGTATTTTGTGTAAAGACAATGAAATTAATGGTAATTAGATCTAGATAATATTATTCAGATGACAAAGCCCCTATATTAGGGTGGTACATGTATTCTGTAAAGATAAGCAGGAGAATCTGACAATTTCCCTATCCAAATGGTTGTAATACCTGTATCTATGGATTGTTGAATGGTAATAAAAATGAAAACGAAAATAATCTATACACAGACGGTATGACTCCTTTGACGGGGGATCAGCCCGTCGCAAGGCCACTACCTATACACAGAACAACTTAAACAGGATAAATGTACGTTGACAGCCATGCCTCACAGGTGGGCTTGGAACCCACGATCCCACTGAGCGGGCAATGACGGTTCATGCCTTACCGCGCAGCCACTGTGATCGACTTCGAGCTATGTAGTATGAGCTAATGAAAGCGTCGTTAACTAAACCGTAAATAAATAAATAAACAAAGATAATACATACAACAAACAACAAAATCAAACTCAACCGGCCAAATCGTAGTTTATGGAAGTAAACATAGGTGGAATGTTATTGTATTAGAAACGATTATAAATGTCACCAAAGTCACCAACATTCTGTACATATTTAATTCCATATTAAGAAGTCATTATGATATCACATAGCTCTGGATTTGATATAGTTCATTGAATATTCAGAAACTCTATTTACAGAGTTATATATGTTTATAAACTGAATTGTAGCTGATATTTTGTGTATGCATTGAAAAATATTATGTTGGCTGCAGTGGTTGTGGCCAGAAGGCAGTTTGTGGTGTGTGTATGTTGCTGGTGTCGAAAGTTTGTGTTTCGTATGTGAGATTTTAGGTTAATTACGTACTAATTGAGGCTAAAACCGTTGTTTTCTGTATTTATTGTGCCTATCCATTCATCATGGATGATATAGGAGCTGAAGTGAGTCAGAAAATACGGGTGAGTTTTTAATGATAGCAGATAAGTATATTCTTTTACTTTCACGCTCTTACAGACAGTAATGGTATAATGCAAGGCGACCCACAAAAATAACCTTACAGCATATAATGCCAGCTGACGGTACCATGACAACAAATTAAAAATGCGTAAATAGTCATGAGATCCGATTTGAGTTTGATTTTCCTGCAGCGAACCATCTGAATATGGTGACATGCGCACATTAGATTTCTTTGACACTACAACATATCGCTTTTGTAATACGAAGCGGGTTCCATTATGCGGCGCGAATTTTAAATTGGCGAAGATGCTTGGTCTGAACGAGGTTACACCTGAAATATGGTACAACGCGTTAGGTTAGGAATTTCGGTACGACTTTGATGTGTTACGCCATCATGTTTGGTACTTAGGCAGTTCCGCTGCTATGTTGGTAGGCCTTGTCGCCAACGTTTTTTTAGTAGGAACGTCTTAAAAGCACACATATAATATGGTAGATGTTTAGGGACGTTTTGGAGGAATATATTGCCATCATCTTCGTGGTCAAAGATTAAGACAACTTGCTTGACTTACTTTTCAGACTTGAAGCTGGAAGTAGGACTGTCTTTTGAAATGTAGTAAATTTCTACTGTGTCACATCCCAGAACATAATATTCCTAGTATCATACATAATTTGTTAGAAATGTCTGTAATCTGTCTTCATATAAAGTGTAGTATTTCCAGTTACATTTAGCCACCATGCTGAAGCATGTTTGGTAAAACTTAGGGACTGCAGCCACACGTTGTACATTGGATATACACTGCGGTTGTAAGACCCATAATTACATACATCACCATAGTATGGTGGCACAGAGTTAAACTCAAGACAAAGAAGGCAGACACGTTGAAATTGCAAAGGTTAGCTTGCTTGGGTATCACAGGAGCAATTTGAACTTCTTCAACAGCTGCACTGGAGATACTCCTTGGACTCCCCCCACTGCATCTACAGTTGGAGGCAAAGGCCAGGGCAGGAATCTACCATCTCCAGTGCAGTGATCAGTGGAAACCTAGATCCAATCGTTTCAGACATGCATACATAACTCAGGACATGAAAAAAGAGCCCATATTACAAATGGGGTCTGACAAAATGATACTGAGACATGTATATGAAAAAACCCTTCACAGTCAGATTTCCTGACAGGAGTGAATGGGAAGACGGGTTTCAGCCTGATAGAAAAGGGAGACTGATCTGGTATACAGATGGTTCCAAGATAAATAAGGGCACTGGAGCTGATGTGTACTGCTATGGCATGGGGCAGAAACTTAGTTTCAGCCTTGGGCAGTACATGACAATATTCCAGGCAGAAGTACGTATATGCCATTAAGCCATTTATTATGGAGAATTTAAGTAGGAACTACAGAAATAGGAACATCTACATTCTATCTGACAGCCAGGCTGCACTTAAAGTGCTTGACAAACACCAGACCAGGGAAGAGACCGTGAGAACCGCGGTCTCTGCGCTTGCGGATTTCTTATATTTTTCCTTCTACCCTGAAGATGGAGGCGATACGTTCCTCCGAAACGTCGGTTAACACCACACACACACACACGGTGCCAAATCCCAGAAGACTGCTTTCTTCATAGTCACCGCCATGAAAGCCTCAAATCTTACAAAGTAACTTCTGTGTCTGTATATTCAGTTTCAAGTGTTAGTTGTTGATCAGAGATATATTCTGTGTTGTACTAACTTGATTCTTTGTGATCAGTTAGTAAAATTCATTAAACTTATCAAGACAACAAGGTATAATTTATTCAGAAGGAAGTGGTGTATCTTCGGCCCCATATGACCCCCAGTTCAAATCATTCAGGTTTATGAACTGATCATGAAAACATACCTTCCTGATTTTGCACCAGTCCTGAAATCTCATCTGCTCTACCCTGACACATTTACAACATAAAACACCCACAGTCATCTCCCATAAACTTCAGACTTGAAGGTAAATCATTCCTGTCATAGTGCTTGCTGTGCCAATGAGCATCAGACACAAGTGCTGCTGCCAGACCTTTGGCAGAAGAAGGCATCTGAGTTCGAGAAAGTGTGGCAGCTGGTGTAAAGAATGATTCCAACCACACCGCTGCTATCACAGGCTAGACTGTGCTTTTACAGGTTGTTAGTGTCAAAACCAAATGCAAATTCTGCCATGACCAATTTTCATTCTGCAAAAAATTACATTACACAAGTTGCCAAAATCTGTTACCATTCGTACAATTAACTGAATTTCATCACTTTCTTGTCATGTTATAAACTTACATTATTACCTAAATACATATATTGACAGCACAAGATTTGTAGGACTGGGAATTTGTGCAGCAGGAAACAAGGCTTTTTTGTTTTGCGTGGAACCACTAGTACTTTTGTTTGGTCTCAAGGATTTTATTTTGGGGTTGGGAGAATAAGGGTTGAAAAGTTTTTCAGAAAATTTGGCTTTGTATTAACACATTGCAGACCGGTGGTTTAAACATTTAAATCACCCTGGGGACCAGCGTTTTTAAACCTACTACCCTAACTTGTGCACTGTTCACTTTAAAAATTAATATAAAATCTCCTAATTAATTTTATGAACTGAAATTTTTGGAGAATACTTACCAGAGCTCCTAGAAGTGCTTGCACGTGTGATATCTCTGGAAATTTTCCCCTTTGTGAAGAGACATTACGCAGAAGTTGCACATGTAGGCAGTTCTACTCTTCTTCTTGTGCTCTGCGCACACATGGCACTGCCTAGAAGGGTGTTTCTTCTTGCAATATTCACTCTTCACAATTTTCACGAGAATATGTTTCCACATATCACCCGAGAGTCGGCCAGGGGGGTCTACTTGAGGCCTCTGGCGGGTGCGAACAGATGGCCCCGGCTGCACTACGTCTGTGTCTGACGCAGGTACTGCCGCCACCGTGACGTCAGTAGCCCAAGCTTTTGCCAGTTTCAACAGAAATGCTTTGTATTTCAAAGTAGAATTTCTGTTCACCTTTTTGAAAACCGTAAATGAATTGAAAATTGCACAGTTTATAAGCCACAATGCAACTTTCTTCGTCCATTTTACTGTTTTCCTAGGAAGGGAATAATAGGCCAAGAACTGGTCGGCCCTATCAACTCCTTTCATGAACATATTATACTCGGAAATACAAAGAGGCTTCTTTACTTGCCCGTGTCGTCTTTGAACATCGACCATGCTCGAATTGTGAATAGTGGAAACCATATTCACAACGTGAGTATCCCTCCAGGACTGAAGAAGAATGTCCCCCTTCCGTCAAAGAAACTATCTCCAAAAAACAGTGACGCAACTTCAGACACGTCCGTTGGGTCCGATGGCATCTGCTTCACCCCCGGATCCCCAGTAAACTTTCCCAAAGTGGGGGTTTTGTCCACTTCATCCCATGTAGCTGTCCCGACACTCGCACTTTCAACGGAGCTCTCACTTTCACTTGACACATTTTGGGCAGCCCTGTGGCCCCCGTCACTGTCACTGTCACTGATAATGGCCTCGCTATCAGAAGACGAAGCAGTTGGCAAATCTGATAGCTCATCGGAGAACATATCTAATATTTCCTGTCCTCCGAGAGATCGCAACTGCTTTCGTCTCTGAGCCATGTTGAACTGGTAGCTGCGTGGTTCATACATGCAAGCTTGGATTAGAACAAAGCCAATTTTGTTTAGGTTGTGACAGGAAATGATGGTGGTGCTGGGTTGTCATGTAACATGGCCTTTGGAATGGGAAATTTACAGTCAAAACAGATTCTCAGTTAATATGTGCAGTGTGTTAGAAAAGGTGATAATAAAATCTATTCCTGTGTTTTTTGATTTGATGATCAAATAATGGTTAGATGCAAGGACTTGTAGATTGAGTATGGAAAGCAAGTGATAAGGAAACATCCAGAAAAATGGCTGGTAAGGAGGTTAATGTTAAAGTGAATCAGAGATATATACATTGTAAGGATCATATTTGGACCGAATGGATTGTGGGCTGCATGCTTTGTTACTAACCGTGCTGCTGACACCTCACTGACCTGTAAACGTAGAGTTGTCCCTGTGCATAAGCACCACACCATGGGAGTACAGTTCCAGACATGTTAACTTTAGGCCTAGGTGAGAAGAATGGTGATACTAATGAATGTGTTGTGTGTTTTCCAGAGTGCAATAAAAGCAAAACTGATGGAACTGGGGGCATATGTTGGTGAGTAAACTTGTTATTTGTTATTTGATGGTTTGAATGAAATTTGTGTTTACAGAACTCAGCAGTATAGACCAGACTAGTTTATTCATACCTACATCACAAGGCAAATAAAAGGTGACATTCGAGATTTTCACAGTAGTCAAGATTCTTATTACTGTCTTCTGGGTTATGGCACATGTCAGTCAGATAAGTACCCTGAAGATGAGGACAGCATGTTCCAGCGAAGTGTTGATCCCTGCCAGACAGACTACATGCCGTCATAACCCAGAAGCCTGATATAAATTATAGCAGCCACTTGACACTGCATAAGAGGCGTATGTGTGTCACAAATGCTTTAAGCCAAAGTTCATGGTTGTGTGATTTTCTTTGACATAGTGAACCATATTTTTAGTGTCATGTAGTGCGTAAACTGCATAAACTTACTCTTGCCCAACAAAAGTCAACTGCTTATGTGATTACTACCAAAGAGGTCTCCAGTTTGATTCTCTGCTAGGGCACTGCTCCCATGACCAAGTTTTCATATGTCTTTCCAGGAATACATCTTTATCCTGCTAGCTAGCTTCTAATGCATCATTTGTACAGTTCATAATAATGTTCGTATGTTTCAAGGGCAGTGTGTATAAAAGGACCTTCGAATGTACATTGAATGCCTGATTTACTTGGATATTGGGACATCCGTTCCTATGCCGTCACTTTCCATTTACCAATCCTCATTCGTCTTAGTTCGCCCTTCACATCTTGGAACCACCTCTTACTAGGTCTCCCTCTTCTACAAACTCCAAGGAGTTCACCATTCAATAAACATTTCAGAGTCCTCTCACTCTCCATGCATTTCACATGACCCAGCCAACTAAGCCTAAGAGATTTTGCATGTCTCACTATGTCCTGTCATTGAAGTAAACTATTAATATTTTATTTGGCTCTAACCCTCCGAACACTGTCTTCACAAACAGGACCATAGACTTTTCCTTATAATTTTCCTTTCAAATATTCAAAGAACATTTTCATCAAAAATGTTCCATGTCCAAGTTTCAGCAGCATAGGTAATTACCGGTCTTAATTAATGTTCTGTGCAATTTCATTTAGTTGATCTTGAAAGGATTGCACTTTTAAGAAGCTGACTATTAGCATAATAGGCTTTATTTCCTGTTATTATTCTCCTGTTTATTTCTTCTGATACTGTCCCTCTATTATTCAACAGGACTCCAAGGTATGTAAAATTTCTGACATTCTCAAAAGTACAAATATGTTTTTGGACATTATCCATTGTCCAAAAATTCAGTGTCACACACTTTATAATTCATGTTCATATTCGCTCCAGTAGTAATGACCAGTGGCATAGCTTGGTGGGGAACATCCTGAATGGTGTTCAATGATGTGATTTCATGTCCTCATTTCTAATGACAGATGAAGAACTGCCTGATTATATTATGGTAATGGTGGCAAACAAAAGGAGTCGCGAACAGATGGAAGATGATCTGCAGCTGTTTTTAGGGTCAAATACAGAAGAATTCACAAGCTGGCTACATCAGGTTCTCCAGAAGTTGCAGGAAGTTACTGTTGCAAGTTTAGGTAAGACATGTTTCCTTAACACAGTACATTTCAGAAATGAGGACACAAATACATCAAATATTGCATCGTTGTTTCAGCATTTGGTTGTGGGTGTTGGTGGGCTATGTCCATTGAAGTCCAAATAAATGGCGACAGCATTGTTAATGGGAAACCTGTTAAAATGATGTTATTGTAAATTAATTTACAGTGCAGTCTTATGGGGCACTTGTGGTTTCCTTGAAGAGTTTATTGGTTCTGTGAGAGGTATTGGATGCTTTCTGATATGTATATTAATTTGATACTAATTGCATGGATGTTAGTTCCTGAAAAGCTGATAGTTACCCGTTCCCCCACCCCAGTGTTCCTGTTATCCTAATACTTTTGGTTTTGAATAACCCATAGCCTTTCAGTTGGACATATTTAAAAAATTGTGTCTTAAACTCATTGTACACCTAGTCCACAATAACAGACAGGTCCCTTACTCCAGAAAAATTAATTTTCAGATAGACATCCTCCTAAACATGTCAGCTTAAGTTGCCTCATTTCCATACCTTTTGATCACCTCAGCATAATATCGGGCCATCTCGGCGAATTAAGAAAATATGCTGTGATAGCTGAGGCTCAAACAGTTACAGTCAATGAAAGGACATCACAGCCTTTTTGATAATGTTGTTTCTGAATCATCATGTTATGCCTATCTAGCATTTAATTCACATATTTACCTTATAAAACCTAACATAAATGCAAGAATATAAACAGAAATGTGTGAACCCAATGAAAACATTGTGCTTTGTGACATCTGGTTTTGTCTTTAAAATTGTAAACCATTAAATTTTTTTATCACCATTGAAATAAAGGCTTTGTTACACAGGCTGCTATGATTAGCTCTTCTCAGCGTACATCAGTCTAGAACACTTAATTGGATTCATATGGTCTCCATCTGGTAGCTCTCTAAAATTCCCAATTTTGTAAATATGAACCCTTTCTGGTTTCAAGCTGTGGAATTTTTACAGCGACAGGGTGTTTTATTTTCATTCTCTCGCACTGTATGTGGCTAACATTGGTACGACCCACATGTTACATAATGGCACAATGTAATCCAGTTTCTTCAGCTCATTTTCGCGACCTTCTGCATGACTATATCTGAGATTAGCAGAGTTTCNTTAATTTTTTATTTTTTTTTTTTTTTTTTTTTTTTTTTTTTTTTTTTTTGTTGCGAAATATAAAAAATAATATTTTGAATTTAAAATAAATTTCAGAAAGGAAGCGGAAATTTTCAACAGGTGATGGTGAGGGAGAGAATTTGAAGAAGGAGAAGCGCAAGAAATCTTCAGAAAGGAAGAAAGTTCGACGAGGTGGTGAACAAACAAGAGGGAAAGATGTCAGAGGTGATTCAGAGAATGTAAACCAAATATCAGGAAAGCATAAAGAATTAGAGAAAGTTACAAAGAGCCATTTAAATCAAAGTGTATCTCACAGTCAGGTTAGTGTTAAGGGCAGTGTAAACAGCAGTGAATGTGTAAGTAAATCACATGCAACAGCTGAAGTAGAACAGAGTGATATAATTACTTCGCTGTCACATAAATTTGGCACTACAAAGTCAGGTGACAGTGATTCTGAGTCATCACACATTGTTGGTTTGTCACACAGAAATGAGGGAACTTTGAAGTCCATAGAAGAGTCTGATGCATTATATTCAGGAAAATCTGGTTACAGAAAAGTTACTTTAGCTGGGAAAAACAGTACTTCCGGTAAAATTATTTGTAGTTCAGTGGAAGGAACTCAGAGTTCAGTGTTGAGTCCAGTGACAAACAGCAGCAGTGGGGCAGATGCTGCAAGCCAAGGTGCTGTGCACCTAGAGCCATTGTCCAGGCCCAAGATCGTCTTGATGCAAAGTGATGACGACGATGATGATGAAGACTTCATCAACATCAAAGCAGATGCTGAAGCAGGTAAACTATTTACACAGTCATTCTCATCACAAAATGTGCAGCCAATATATATTGTAGCTTCTCTTGTAGGGGTTTGTGAGTGTTACACTGCATGGAAAAATAAAAGTATCCCAGAATGATCACTGTGAAAACCTAGAGCATTGTGGTTTGTTCTAAATATCAATTTTTAAAGTAGTGCCATTTCAAGATAAAAACGATGTTAATTTAAATTTATCACTGCATGGAGTATTTCATAACAAAGTATTTTTTTACGGTGATGAGTTGTTAGCCACACGCCCAACCCCCAAGCTGGAGGGCCACCCCTTGTTGGCTTTCCGCGACTGCTTATTCAATATATAGATCGAAACCTGATTCAGGAGGAAATTAAGAGGAGATGGAACTCGGGTAATGCTTGCTACCATTCAGTCCAGAACCTTTTGTCTTCTCGTCTGTTGTCAAAAAACATAAAAATTAGAATATACAAAACTATAATTTTGCCTGTGGTTCTGTGTGGGTGTGAAACTTGGTCTATGACATTAAGAGAATAACATAGACTGAGGGTGTTTGAGAAGGGGGTGTTGAGGAGAATATTTGGACCGAAGAGAGATGAAATGACAGGAGGTTGGAGAAAATTGCATAATGAGGAGCTTCATAACTTGTACTGTTCTCCAAGTATAATTAGATTGATCAAGTCAAGGAGGATGAGGTAGGCAGGGCATGTAGCACTAATGGGGGAGACGAGGAATGCGTATAGGATATTGGTGGGAAAGCCAGAAGGAAAGAGACCTCTGGGAAGACCAAGGCGTAGGTGGGTGGACAATATTAAAATGGATCTTAGAGAGATAGGATGGTATGGATTGGATAGATCTGGCTCAAGATAGGGACCAGTGGAGGGCTCTTGTGAACATGGTAATGAACCTTCAGGTCCCATAGATTGCTGGGAAATTCTTGAGTAGCTGCAGAATTGGCAGCTCCTCCAGAAGGGCTCAGCTCCATGAGTAAGTAAGTAAGTAAGTAATGTGGTATTGCATGAGTTTCCTGTGTGTGTTGCCAGTATTTAATGGTTTATGTGTGTTCACATGGATCAAGAAAGAGCACAAGTTTTATTTGAAACCTCATCCAGACATTATTAAACTACCAGTGTTAAGACTGTCTCATGTTTGCAGAATGATTTTATAGAAGGGGAGGAGTATTTTTGCTTTGTCCTGCAGGTACACAATATGAAACTACTGTGATGGTGGAAAATTCAGTCTTGGTTTTTGCATTTCTGTCTGTGTGTATGTTGGACATATGTTATTCATGTTTGTTATTTAAGATTTGTCTGTTATAGGTCATTGCCTTGTAAATATGAACACTGTAGCTCCAAAATTGGGGCCCTTCAAATGGCCCCCTAAAGCGAAGTTGCAACTTCCTCAAACAAGGCTATAATGCTATGGATTAAATTTAATTAGTTTATGGAGACCATTGCCCCAAAAAGACATCCACTGGCTACCCTCCAGCTCCATATTGTGCCCTTACAGTTATAATGAACTTCTGTAACTCTAGTGAGTCAATTAGCCTGTTTATGTTCATTTCAGAAGAGTTACTGGATGCTGAGCTTCCAAAAGGAGCTCAAGAAACTATCGGCAGTGGCATGAAGAGCAGTACCACAGACTTAGGCAACAAGGGTGACAGCACTCTGACTGCTGTGGCTGAAGATAAGCAGAACACATCCAGTGTAGGAGGGCTTCAGCTGTCAGACAGGCTTGGTGCAAAAGTTACCACTGGATCAGTTTTAGACAGGCTTGGTGTTAGAAAAGTTACCCATGAAAGTAATTTGCCATTGATTCGCATTACAGATCGTTTGGGACATAAAATAATTCCTCCAGAGACAGACAAACATGGCAGTAGGAAAGTTATTTCAGTTAGATCTGAAGGTGTGACAAGACACACAGACTCAAGCCAAGAAGTGCCCACACTGGGTGGCAGAGTAGTGCCAGGTAACAGAAGAAGCATTTCGGTGATATCACAGTCAGAACGGTGTAATATATCCGTGGCACAAGTTGCACCCACAGCAGTGAAAGGAACATCTGGGCTGATGAATGTCAACGCAGAGACAGAACCGTTGGGACCAAGAGCAGTGCACAGGCCACTGGATGAAGACAGCATTACTGGCAGAGATCAGGTAAGATTGAAGAAGATGCTGATGGGAATGTTTAAACCTTTGGGAGAGGAATCAACACAGAACTCGAGAAAATTATGTAATAAAAACCTTCATAGTGTGTACTGTTTGCCCAGTATTGTAAAGTTGATTAAATCATGGAGAATGGGATGAGTGGGAACTTGCAGCACTCTTGGAGTAAACAAGAAAACCTGAAGAAAAGCCTACACGTAGGTTAGAGTTAATATTAAAATTTTATTTAAAAAAAATAGTAGGTGAATTGAATTCAACTGTCAGTGGAAGGTGGTTGTGAATACAGTGACCAACTTTGAGATTCCTTAACCAGCTGAATAATTGTCAGTTGTACTCCTGATGTATCTGTAGGTGCCTCGAAAACGGCCGCTGCTTTCAAGAGTAGTCGCCATGCGTAGAGATGCTGAAGAGGAAGAATATGATCCTGTGAACCCTGGTGTTGGATCACTGGCATCAGTTATTTGTGTGAAGCCTCGCCCCATAGTTCCCGCAGCTCTTCAGGCCAATAAGAATCTCATCCTGAAAGCCATGGCAGAGGCTCACAAGTCTGTTGCCAGTGCACCAAAACGTGTGGAACCTCATGAGGTAAGTTATATAGCCGTGGTTTCTGGGCTCTTGTTGGCAGGTGAAAGCGTGATAACATTGGGCATAACCTGCTTGTGTGATTTAATGTTCTCACAGTGGGGAGTGTTGAGATTGTGGTCTTCTGGAATTTGACACTATGTAGTCTGGGAGGCAAGTACCACTGTTCCTCAGGGTTGAGTTCAGCCCCGAAGATGATGACAATAGGCTCCTCCACAGCACTACTACCTGTCCACCATGCTACATGATGTCACATCCCAGAAGGCAGTAGACTTAGTAACCCATTTTGCATCTCAGAATCTGCTTTGTCATTATTTGTTTAGTTCTTGATTTTGAATTTGAATTTATTTATGGTACATAAATCTGAGTACAGGTTGACACCATATGATATGCAACAAGTTAAGTAGAAATACATAATAACTATACAATAACAGTTTTATTGTAGACTAGCTCTTTGTAATGGGCCCAACTGTGTAAGTCTATCCTGCCCCATCCACCTGAGGATGGAGACAAATCCAGTCTCCGAAACGTTGTGGTTTTTTGTCTTATATATACCAGATGATGGGTAGAGTCCAAAATAAGCCTAATAGTTTTGCTTGAAAAGTTAATAAGATTATAATACAGTATTAATATTGCCATGCTAATTGGATACATTCAGTAAAGTCTGCAAATAAGCAAAATGATACAGTAACATGCTTGGGAATGCACTTTAGCTTAGAATTGATACTAGTTACTGTTTGTTTACATTTAAATATTCAGCTGTGGAGTAGAAGGAGTGAGTAAGTAAGGAACATTTCAATGCTGTTTTAAATTGCTTAATATTACTGTTTGCTTTTTTGAGACTTTGAGGGGTGCTATTGAATGCTTTGAGGCCGAAGGAGTGAACTCCTTTATGATATAGAGATTGGTTTTGCTGAATGTTTGTGGAAGTTGGGTTTTTGCCTTGTATTTATGTTATGGATATCAGAATTTAAATTGTACGTGCTTCTGTTTTGTACCATGAATAACAGGAGTGAGAGTATGTACTGTGAGTGAAACTGTAATATTTTTAAGTTTTTAAATAAATCTCTGCAAGAATCTCTGTTCTTGCTTCATGTGATACTTCTAATTGCCCTCTTTTGCATTTTGAAGATTTTTGTGCTATCTCTAGAGGTTCCCAAGAATATTATTCCATATGACATAGCGGAGTGAAAGTTGGCATAGTAAACCATTTTCATTACTTCCTGAGGCTTGTAGGGTTTAATAGATCTGAGTGCTTAACAGGCTGCACTTAGCACATGTAGTACCTACTCCATATGTAATTTCCAAGACAGTGTACTATCTATAAGTAATCCAAGGAATTTTGTGTCATGTGCTTTAAAAATTGTATTATTACCATGGCTTACATCCAGGTTAATTTTGGGTCCATTTTTAGTTTTAAATCGTACGAGATTGGTTTTGTCGAAATGTAACGAAAGACTATTTGTCTCTGAGCCATTTATTTAAGTATTTGAATACGGTCATTATGTCACTTATAAAATCTGTGGGGTTAGAGTTGGTAAGTATCATACTAATATCATCCGCAAGCAGAATTTGTGTAGTTTATTCTAAGCAGATTTTGGTAAGTCATTATTCAGTGGCATTGTTTCAACTGAGGGATTGTGGAAGATTTGTTGAGATGAAGAGATGATTATGAATGGCAAATAGGAAGTCTTTGTTAGTCAGTAGATGTTTCCTATCCATTTAAAGATACCTGAAGAGGCAGAATTTCAGATATAAGTCATAAGTGTTACTGCTATGTGGCAGGTAACCTGCTCCTGATGGAAAATTAAAAAACAAGCATGATTGTAAAATGAATACAGTGAAACCCCCATTTAAGGCACAGATCAGTCTGGTTATTTNTCATTATGTCACTTATAAAATCTGTGGGGTTAGAGTTGGTAAGTATTATACTAATATCATCCGCAAGCAGAATTTGTGTAGTTTATTCTAAGCAGATTTTGGTAAGTCATTATTTAGTGGCATTGTTTCAACTGAGAGATTGTGGAAGATTTGTTGAGATGAAGAGATGATTATGAATGGCAAATAGGAAGTCTTTGTTAGTCAGTAGATGTTTCCTATCCATTTAAAGATACCTGAAGAGGCAGAATTTCAGATATAAGTCATAAGTGTTACTGCTATGTGGCAGGTAACCTGCTCCTGATGGAAAATTAAAAAACAAGCATGATTGTAAAATGAATACAGTGAAACCCCCATTTAAGGCACAGATCAGTCTGGTTATTTGTCACATGTCAACCAGTGAGGTATAAAAAAACCATGTAAGATGTCGTGGAATATGTGTGTACTTAGATTAGATTGTTTGACTCTTGTTTTTATTCAGTGATATGGAGGTATGTTAGTATAGACACCAGGGCAGAAACATTAATGTATAGGAGATTTATGGTTTTCATGGCTGTGAAGAATTGTCTGAAGAGGGAGGTTGTGTGGCTGTCTGAAATACTAGCTGAGAACACAGTGTCATAACACACAAGACCACAAAGAAACATAAATTGTTTCCGAATTTCTTATTTTAGCGTTCAGATGGCCTGTATACCAGGAAGTTTCGAGATAACAAAGGTAGTGATAAGATTGCTATCACTCTGCCTAACAGAAGAATGCAACCACGTAAGGATCTTCCTGTGATGGGTGAGTTGAAGAAATGCATTTACTATAGAAGCTCATTGTTGTTACAGTGTCATTACCATTGGCACCAAATGCTTATACCATGGAAGCTTTGTAGGATATGAAGTGGGCTTTATATCGTACATAGTGTGTAATGAAGAAGTGTAGTGTTGGTATAGTATTGTTACTTTCAGAAAAACCATCTGATATTGAACGAATAGTGATCCCAGTCAAGTTGGAGGCATCTAGGTCCATCTCAAGTGTCAACTTGCAGCAGAAAATTGTTATTCAGGTTTCTTCAGATAAACCTGCAGCACAGGAAAGTAAGTGCATTTTGTGCAGTTTAAAAGACAGGGATGTCTGATTTATAATGTGACACCTTCATTTTCTGTGTTACTGTTGCAGCTGTTCCTCCACCCGATATATTGCATTCTAAAGTCCCGGAGGAGAATGTCACAGGAGATGTAAATCCTGATTATGATGACGGAAGCACAAAATTATTGGAAGTCACTTCTGGCGTAGAAAGAGGGATGGAAGGGAAGGTTGAGGCCCATGATGATGCCAAGAGGTCAGTTGTCAGTGGATCCTGGTCCAAGGATCCTCCTGTACAGGTGGAGTCTGTCAGGTAATTCACTGTGTAGTGTGGAGACTTCCTTAGTTTCCCATTACTTGTGTCTGTGCACTTAATATTTTAATCAGTTATGTTAATATTATTTCAACTGCAGAGGTTAAACACTATAAGAATATGAGTGGTGAGTAATAAAGGACTGCCACTTCTACCCCAAAGATGGAGGCAGTAGTTTTGTGCAATATGTTGTTACCCTCATGTGAAAAACTACATGATGGCATAACCCATTATTTTCATTTCATGCATCCTGTTATATTATTATATACAATTCTTTATTAAGTCCATCACAACACAACAACAATACATTTTTCAAGGCTAAATTAGCTTTGCTACATGTTTCGGCTATTCATAGCCATCATCAGGCAAATACACGATCATCATGTTTACACACTAGTGAACTGCGATTGCGTAATGAGTCTGGATACTTGACAGTTATCATATTATAAAACAAGAGTTTTGCCATACAATAAGGTTAAATCTATTCACTTATTGCAGCTACAAATCAGTTTCTTAACTTCTTCAGTGATGCTCATTTTGTATTGAACTCTAGAGAGAAAAATAAGTCATGAAATTTTGTAGCATCAGAGCAACATAACTCTTTTGTTGACAAAGTTAATTTGGAATTGAATGTATTATTGTGCTGTGTTACACTGTGAAGCATCTGAAGTTATCTGTCCATGTAGTCATAATGTATGTTCATTTCAGACAGAATTGTGTTCTTATGTCTAATTACACATAGAGACAGCTACACATCTGACAGCTTCTTAAGAAGGGCTCAGCTCCATGAAGTTAGATGCATGGGAGAGTTCTGTCTTCTAGTATCTTCAAAAGCAGCATTGTGGGGACCTCAGATCATACAGAGAGATATGTCCCTTCAGTTTGGTAGCATTAGAGCATTTATAAGAAACTGTCTCATCTAATTTCATTCTGTGTATATGATTTAAGTCTCCACTTCTTAAACTGACAGTGATACTTTATTTCAGTTTACCAGAGGTTTCTCGGTCTGAAAGTCCTCAATTTGTAGTGACACTCGATGGTCTGGATCCTTCAATATTTCATGCCCATTCTCAAACAAAGCAGCAGACATCTTCTGTCATTATGAACAGCCCAAATACAGACTCTGAATCATCAGCAGTTGAATATGAAGACAGCGAAGTAAACAGGACTGAAGAGGTGCAGAGAGAGAAGAGACCGGCATCACCAATATTGTATCAGAAGTCATCCAGCCCTGATGCTACAGGTATTCTTTGTTTTGAGATTTTTGAATTGGTTTGTTGGACTATCACACAAAAGAAGAAACAACATTCAGAAGTGGGAAAATTGGATTTTCCTTTTCTTTTTGGATTTGAACATAGAAATTTAACTCTGAAATGATAGCATTAGGAATGTAAAGATTTATGGCTGCTTAGGGGAAGCAGAGACTGGAGCATTCATTAAGCATTCTATTTCTCTTGAATTTCAGTAATTCAGTTCAGTTCTTTACAGAAATATGCTTTAAAATACATGAAAAGTAGTCATTATAAAGTGAATAAAGTGTAACAATTTTCGTGTTCATGTGGAAATAGATGCAGTTTTTATAGGTAAACATTGCCTGGTGCAGTTCCAACACACACAGAGGTATCCTTTAATTTTGATATAGACTGGGAATCAGGGTGGGCTGGAGTAAGAGATCTAAATCAGGTACTTGAATATTTGGATGAGATCAAGAAGAGTGTAGCAACAGTCATTTTACAGGCTACATAGAACTAAATAATGATAAAAAATGCAAAACAAGGCCTCCAACAGCCATAACATAACTGTAAATAATTAGAGAGTGTTTTCCAACAACAGTAACAAATAAAATGAGATCCATCATAAAATTAGAAAGATAACTGTGCAGAAACTCATTGGTTGGTTGGTAGCTCTATGTGGTCATTCCTCATTCCTGGCAAAAAAAACTGACGTACTCTTATTTTAAACATGCAGTACAAATTATATGGCTACTATCATAAATAAGAATATTAATTTCTTTATACCAAATAAGGATTTTGTTTAGAAATAAGGGTATTCAATTATACCAGCAGATCTGTTGCTTTGCTGCGCAAGAGTCCGCCATATTGGCCTACATGTTACAGACCTCGAAACTGAGTTTCTGTAAAAATTTTGTATCATTGTAATATAGTATTGTGACATGTTGCGCAACAGAGAACCCCTCCCTACCCAGCAGCAACGTGGCAACTCAGGCCACAGTGACATGGCGAATGAGTCAGCGCTCCCCTCCACACGGCAACGTAACGCGCAACGCGCGGTGACGTAAGACGGCGCGAGGTAATAGCGTTGCTAGGCCATACGCAAACATGGTGACGCGTCACCGCTTCCTACTGTGACGTGGCACGCAACAGGCAACAGTGAACAGAATAAAAGCCGGCTGAGCGGTAAGCATGAGAGAGTTGAAATGTGGCATCGCCGAGTTCAGTAGTAGTTGAGCCAGTGTGTTATCAAGAGTTCTCAAGGCAGCAGCCTGCAAGTTGAGTTGGAATACAGCAGCCGTCGCGGAAAGAAGAACCGGACGTGTGTGTAACTGTGTAATTGGGAGTGTGTGAGACAGAGAGACTTGTAGATAGAGTGAACTGATTTGCGCATAAGGTTATAAATCATGAAACCCCGCAACAGTGTAAACAGATTAATGCAATTAGGGTTATAAAGTGTGAAACCCCGCAACTGTGTAATAATTAATTGTAGCCGTTATTTGTAGGTTGTTGAATAAACCAATTAACAATCTCTACGGCGTCTTCAGTGACAAGACATGTTACAGTATTCTAGTCTGTTATTTGTGTGAGTGAATTGAGGTTTATTAAATCTGGATTATTAATTACTGGAATTGTAAGTGTACTCCGATTTCACAGTGAAGTGCATCAAAAAGTGATTTAGAGTGAAATGCATCACAATTTTGTTTTTCCCCTTCATTTCTTTTTCCCAAAGTGTTGAATATAAAAACTAATATTATTAGTCAGATAATCTGTTACTGTATTCGTTTCGTGATATACAAGTGAAATGCACAGGAATTTGAGATTTTAACTCCTGACAATCGAATCTGTACAGTGAGTCACCCTAAAAGAATTTGTTCTAATTGTGGTTTTGAAGTTTCATTAATAGCATCTAGTAAATAAGGAATATATTATTAATATTCATAGCCATAATGATGTCTGGTACAAATAGCCCTTCTGGTAAATGTGGAGCTTGTCACTAATGGCCTAATTTGTACAGACTATGGCTACTGCCTCCACTTAAACTGTGCAAGCACTAGCCCCAGTTCACCATACAGGAGTAAGCCATGGTATTGTATCCCATGTAAGTACCAGAAACATGTGAACCAACAGGAGGAGAGAATCAGGCACCTGGAAAAAGAAGTAAAGGCAGCCAGATAGGAAATCTGTAAGCTGAGAGGAGAGAATGTCAGCAGTAACTTCATGCAGCAGGGTAATTCAGGAAATTGGAAAAACCCAAAAAATTCCAAGTCCAGGTTCCATAGGTTCTCTGAAAATGATGCTAGAAACAGATGCAATGGAATTGGATCAGCAAACCCCAGTTTTGTTGAAGCATAAAGGCAGGGAACTAAAATCTAGCACAATGAGGACAGAGAAAAATAAAAATAAAAGAAAGATCTTGTTACTGGGAAGTAGTCATGGTATGGAAATTGGCCCCATGCTTCAAGAAAACCTGGGAACTAAATTTTCCATATGTAACATTTCCAAACCAAATGCTCCTCTTGCAAAGGTTGTTGAGGATCTAGGGAAGCTTGGTAAAGGCCTTTTTTTTTTCCTGTGGCGCTACAGCCCCAATTTGGGCCTAGGCCTACCTCCATGAAACTCTCCGTTTCACTTCGGTTTACTAGATCTTACACATACGGTAGGACTCCTTGGGCGAGTGATGAGCTCGTCGCAAGGCCTCTACCTGTAGACAAACACAGAAGAACGCACACAAACATCCATGCCCTGAGTGGGATTCGAACCCACGATCTCGGTTTCCGAGCGAGCGAAGACAGTGCATGTTGGTAAAGGCCTTACCAAGATCATATTATTATAGTGGGAGGGCCAGGAAAGATCCTGGATAGAAACTATCATTATTCAATTGAAAATGATCTCAACTACATTGCAGAGAGGACATCAAACACCAATGTGGGATTTGTCAGCCTCTTTGAGAGGCATGACAAGCCATGGATGAATGGGAGAGTTAGGAGCATGAATCTAAGGCTTGATCAGGCCCTGATGGGTCATGACATGTCTCACATTGGTGTCACTAACACATCATCAATTGCGAAGGAAGATTACACAATGCATGGCCTGCACCTGAGCTCTCAAGGCAAGAAGAGGCTCACGCAGCTTATTGCTGAGAGGGTTGTTGGTGGTCATGCATCAGGTATAAGCAGTATTCCTGTTATAACCAATGCTAGGGTGTCTCCTTTTTTAGATTTAATTCAAAAGCACCAAGATGCCTATCATATATTAAATGCAGTCCAGCAGTCTTGGAAATTCACAGACAAACTGCAGAAAAATTAAATTCAATAAATATCTTTCACCAAAATATCAGAGGCTTGAGAAGCAAAATTGAAGAATTACTGCACTCTTTTGAAATAGACAACATAAATCCTCACATATTATGTTTAAGTGAACATCTCATGGTTGAACAGGAATTGCTGTTCCTCTCAATGCATGGTTACCTGTTAGGCTCAAGTTTTTGCCAGAAGAGCCTACAGAGGGGAGGAGTGTATATTTTTGTTAAGACTGATCTACATATCAGTAAAATTGATATTCCTCATCATTGTACAGAGCAAAACTGTGAAATCTGTGCAATACAGCTAGTAACTAAAACATTTCACATAATTATATCAAGCCTGTACAGAGCCCCTTCAGGAGAGGTTAATGAATTTCTAAGGAGACTAGATGCAACTTTAAAATATCTGTACAATCCAAAGTCTGAGTTTATAATCTGTGGAGACATAAACATAAACTATTTAAATGAAAGCAGAAAAAAAAACAAGTAAACTGTTTAATAAGGACATAACAACCTCTCACACACACAGTGAATTTCGCAACAAGAGTTCAAAATTCCTCAAGCACAGACATTGATAATATCTTTATAGATAATGCAAGGTTAAGCTCTTCTTGTACATCTCCTGTAGTCAACGGCCTCTCTTACAGTAAATAATATTATTGAGGAAGTAAATTCAGCACCCTTGAAACAGAGAACCAGAAAAATAAACAGTGAAACCATTGCTCATTTTCAACATCTATTAGAAAATGAAACATGGGAACCTGTTTTCAAAGATAAGGATACAAATTATAAGTTTAACTCCTTTTTTTATATATTTTTATAAATATCTTTGAAGCCAGTTTTCCTACGCAAAATAAAAGTAAGTAGAATAAAAAACCACTGGATTACACAAGGAATAAAAATATCTTGTAAACATAAAAGGTGTCTGTATGTAGACAGCAGGAGCAGTAATAATCCCTACATGAGAGCATACTACATAAGGTATTGCAAAATCCTGAGTAGAGTTATAAAAGAGGCTAAAAGGCAGCATTGCTGCAGGCTTATACCGGCATCAAATGATCAGATAAAAACAGCCTGGAATATAATAAAACAGGAAACAGGAAAATCACATCTGACTGACCAGATTCTATCTCTCCTTATAAATGATGAAAAAGTCGAGGACCCAGGAGAAANCAGTGAAACCATTGCTCATTTTCAACATCTATTAGAAAATGAAACATGGGAACCTGTTTTCAAAGATAAGGATACAAATTATAAGTTTAACTCCTTTTTTTATATATTTTTATAAATATCTTTGAAGCCAGTTTTCCTATGCAAAATAAAAGTAAGTAGAATAAAAAACCACTGGATTACACAAGGAATAAAAATATCTTGTAAACATAAAAGGTGTCTGTATGTAGACAGCAGGAGCAGTAATAATCCCTACATGAGAGCATACTACATAAGGTATTGCAAAATCCTGAGTAGAGTTATAAAAGAGGCTAAAAGGCAGCATTGCTGCAGGCTTATACCGGCATCAAATGATCAGATAAAAACAGCCTGGAATATAATAAAACAGGAAACAGGAAAATCACATCTGACTGACCAGATTCTATCTCTCCTTATAAATGATGAAAAAGTCGAGGACCCAGGAGAAATTGCAGATGCCTTCAATACTTCTTTTCTAACAATTACAGAAAATCTAAACTTGCATTAGGAAGTGGGAGATAATGTCATTTCATTTTTAAGAGAGGCATTTCCTAGAAAATTCCCTGGTTTTAAAACCATTCCAATCACTGAAAAGTTTGTGCATCTCTAATCAGTAGTCCATTAACACATCTGTAATCACTCACTATTAACAGGAATATTTCCTGATCGTCTTTAAGATTTCAGTAGTAAGACCACTACATAAAAAAGGGGACAAGACTAGTATATCAAACTACAGGCCAATTTCACTGCTAACTATTGTACGTTCTCTATAGTACTTGAAAAAGTTATGCACAGTAGGTTAAGCCATTATTTTCAGAGTAACAATATACTAGTCCCAGAACAGTTTGGCTTTAGGAAAGGAATTTCCATTGAAAATGCAGCCTTTAAGTTAACAGATGGTGTGTTGAAATCTATTAAGCAAAAAATGCATGTTGGTGGAATATTCTGTGACTGGGCAAAGGCTTTTGACTGTGTAAATCATGAAATTTTAGTAACTAAATTACGTGTTTTTTTTTTTTTCATTCAAGGAACAACGTTAGGTTAGTTCAGATCCTACCTAACAGATAGAAAACAAAAGATTGAAATGAAATCATCAAATTCAATCCAAAATACCTACTGAAACTGGGGAATAATAAAACATGGAGTTCCGCAAGGGTCAATTTTGGGGCCTTTGCTTTTCATAATTTATATAAAAACCTCCCCCCTACACTAAGGACCTCGTCAATACCTATAATATTTGCAGATGACACTAGTGTTATAATTTCTGGTAAAAAATTAGATGATTTCTGCATGTTATCAAGCAAGGTTCTTTCACAAATGAGTAAATGGTTTTCTGCAAACAAGCTGTCCCTGAACCTAGAAAAACAAATGTAATAAAATGTATAACAAAAACTCACCACACTATCGGTTAAACATAGAAGATAATGTTAAATATATTGAAGAGGGAGTAAAAACAAATTTCCTTGGCTTGCAAATTGATAATCACTTAAACTGGAAAAACCATATTGATCAGTTGATTCCAAAGTTAAGTAGAGCATGTTATGCAGTTAGATTCATGTTACATATTGGTAACATTGACACTCTCAAATCAATCTGTTTTGCTTATTTTCACTCTTTAATGAAGTATGGAGTAATTTTCTGGGTGTAATTCATCTGACATTAAAAAGTATTTAAATTGCAAAAGAAAATTGTTAGAATCATGATGGGTGTCAAATCGCATAGAGATCTATTTAAGAGACGACAGATCTTAACTTTGCCTTGTGAATATATATATTCATTAATAAACTTCATTACAAATAACAAAGAACATTTTCAGACAAATGCGGATGTACACAGTGTTAACACAAGACACAAACACTGTCTTCATAAACCAATTGCTAATCTCTCGTGCTTTCAGAAAAGTGCATTTTATGCTGGGATCAACATTTTTAATAACCTGCCATCTGATTTCAAAGGTCTTATGAATTAAAAGGCATGATTTAAAATAGCGCTGAAACGATACTTAAATAAACATTCATTCTACTCTGTTGATGAATACCTATTGTCTAGAAAATAACCAATGTATCTTTAAATAGCCCTGTGTGTAGTCACTGTGTACTCTTGGTTTCTCTTGTGTGAGAACTCCATTGGGTCTCTGCATATGTTTTGTATTTATATGACATATTCCACATCCTACAGTCATTCTGACTAACTTTGGATCCATGGAATGGAATGTAATGTAATATGGTCCTGTAGGGGCATGGAGATGGATATGAATCACAATCTATAGAACACTGAAGAAGAAGGCTAGTGAAACAGTGGGCTGGACAAGTAGATGAAGTATGCATGTGGAATATTCCTGAGGAAACCTCTAGGAATGTACCCACTTGGAAGGACAAGGGAAATTGGAGCAGGATACTGATGACCATTTTGTGAAGATGTTTCTCATACCACATAAATGTGTATAACTTACCTAATTGAAGATAACCGTCTTCAGGAATTTGTAGCTATATATTTTGGTATGTTTGGTAAATGGATGCCATTTTTTAGGAATCTGCTGCATGTGTCTTCACACATCTGCCATCCTGAAGTTGGAGGTAGTAGATTCCTTTGAAACATTATTGCCTATTTACCAAATTACACAGTATCTTCATACTCACCACTGTGATCGCCTAAAACCATATGCCCATAATTCAGTTTGACATATTTTGTCGGGAACATTTTTTGATGCACTGAGATATAGATTTAAGTTCCTTACATGGTCTGAAAGTGAGTCTTAGTATGACATGTCACTGTAATGTGTGTGTGTGTGTGTGTGTGTGTGAGAGAGAAAGAGATTAACATTTGTTTGAAGTGAAAAAGCTAAATAGTTCCATTCAGTGTGACTGGTTAAGATTGTCTTATTTCAATTATTCACGCCCTTACATGTTTCTGTGGTCTTCAGAGACCATCTTCAGAGGAACACCTTTTACATCAATACAGTTAGAAGCCACTATTACAGTACATGTTCTAAAAGTTAAAATATATACATACAATATAAATAATATACAATTGGCTGTAAAATCTAAAGTTTTTAAATCAAATTTGTATGGAGTCCTAATGTGGGGTTTCACATAAAGTAATATTCCAGTACAGACCATTTTAAATTGCATCATAAGCTTGAAAATAGTGATAGTATTAAATTTCATGAAAATGGAGTCTCACGTACATCTCACTGGATGCACAGTACATCCATCTCCCCCTTATTATTTCCTTGCCCTTCAGGAGCCCAAGTACCAATGAAAACAACCCCCTCCCCCTGGAAAAGTGCAGTCCCTGCTTAAGCTGACAGTTGCTGTTCTTCCTCTCTTTGAATGAACTGGGGCTAAATTCGGCAAACACTTTGATGCCTGAACTGCCCATGCACACTTTCTTGTCTTGAGAGTATTGCATGTTGTGAACACAGGCTTCTCATTTCCATAGGTGGTGTGAAGCAGAAGATAAGTGAGAGATGCAAATATTGGCCAGCCTGTAGGTCAGGAGACAAGTGCAGTTACTCGCACCCAACTGTTCCTTGCAAGTGAGTGTTCATACATGATGTTGAGATTTGTCTCTTCCTTCAACATATTCAGTAAATATGTGAATAATTTATGGATCTTATAAATTTGTATGATTGTGCCTGGGAGAAGTATCCTTAACAAAATTTCAGATGTCAGAAATTCCAAAATGTGATTGCAGGAAGAAAGCTGCTTTTGCTGTTGTCTGTGTTGTGTGATGATTTATGTTTCCTTATTTGTCTGTTTTTAGATCTTTTCCTAATTGCAAATTTGGTGACAAATGCTTGTACATCCATCCAAACTGCAAGTTTGATGCTTCATGTACACGAAGAGACTGTCCTTTCACACATGCTAGTCCTCGTAATGTGAGCAGCGCCTCTCCTGCAGGTAATCTGTGGTCTTATGCTTTGGAAAGTAAGGTTAACATGGCATGACAGTGAACTCCATCTTCAGAAGTTGATAACTGCTTACCTGCTCAACAAGTTTCCCAGCATTTTTTAAACCCACAATTTCATTACCATTTTCACAGCAGCCTGACACTGGACTGTATTCTCACCACATCCAGGCACCCTGTGTTACCCTCATGTCTCTAGGTTTCCAAAATGGTCTCTTTCCATCAGGTTTTCACGCTAATATTTTACTTAAATTTCTCATTGCATTCATACATACTGCATGACTTGCCCATCATGTCCTTTTGATTTTATCATCCTAATAATGTGTGGTAGAAACTATGATTTTTACTTTCCTCATTATGCAGATCTAACCTCACAGGAGTGGTTAAATTATAAAATGAGTTTATATGCATTTTTTTATTTCACCAAGTGTTAGGTGATTGAAGTGAACTGATAATGGAAATTCCCAAGGATGACGATCATGTATGAGATGACTATACTTGCCGATACCTCAGTTTCAGGAATTTCTGTTGATGATTCCAAAATACCAAGGATTTTTTAATGCTACCCAGCAAGTTTTTTTATTGCTCTAGTGCAGTGCTGTCCAACATTCTTATGTACTTGGGGCACATTCACTCTATGGAGGTGCGGGCGCCACCACACTACTACTACTACTGCTACTACTACTACTACTACTCCTACTACTACTACTACTTAATACTACTATTTCTACTACTTATACTACTACTACTACTACTACTTAATACTACTATTTCTACTACTTATACTACTACTACTACTAATAATAATAATAATAATAATAATA